CCCCAAAACCCCAAAACCCCAAAACCCCAGTAAATGAAAATCTTTTAGGAAAGATTAAAAATATAAAAATAAGTTACTTAATATCTTGATTTTTAATTTCTTATAGTTTAAGCAATCACATCGCAAACTTAGGAATAGTCCAAACGAAGTTATTTCTATAATCTGTTTTTACTTTATGAGCTTCTCTGTCATTCCCCATTACCACCTTGCTAGATTTGTGCTACATCTTTATTTTGTCTGCAGCTGCACTAGATAAAGTAATTTATCTATTAACTATCTAGGCGGTTTAAGGTCTCAAAAGATATCTCTAATCGGTCTAAGTTATAAGTTATGATTAGGGCCTTTGATCCAATTGAAGATTAACCTGAGTTGGATTCTTAATAAGCTATGCTTTGACTTAGGGGTAATCTGTTTAAATATTTATATGTGATCCAACCATGAAATTAGTAACTCTATGATTGATCATCTAGTCTTTGAAATTGAGACCTTTAAAGTCCTGAGCAGAAAGTGTCTGTCTTAGCTTGTGATCAACGACATTATATTCCAAACCCATCGCATTATTGTCTATTTGTTGATTACTTTCTATTTGTCTTGCCGTTTTGCCTTGTTCAAAGGCTAGCTTTTTATCGTCAAGGAAAACATCTCCTCCACTAATAATAGCCTGCTTGTAGGTGCAGTTCTACCTGTTTATTAGCTCCTTAAACTCAGGTCTTAACTGCATGGCTGATAACCCTCTTTTATATTCATCCTCTATCTGCATTTAATGAGCTTGGGTCCTCCTTAGCCCAACTTAATGCTCAGTATTCAAAGTATTCAGTAATTCTTCCTTAGTCTATATGCCTAAGTTATGATTTTCGGCAAGCTCTCTTTCTGAATATAATTTATTAAGTGTATTGTTTTTATCGTATGTTTCTAGTAGTCTTTCTTTACTTTAGCCGTTCTTATGAAACTAGTTATATTATGTCTTAAATCTGGTGTTTTGATACCGCAATTCTTCTTTAAACGGCAAATGATTCTTGAAATTAATGTTATCATAGTTTGTCTGCTCCTAGGGGTCGTGCACCTGATTATCTCTTTCATGAGTCTAAACGTCCTTTTGATAGTAATCCTTTACACCACTTAGAGATCTAGCTGTTCTGTTAATAAGCGGCTAAACATTTTAGATTTTCATGGAATTCTTAATCTCAATGGCATCTGGGTTCTAGTAATCTTAGATTTTTCTATTAAAGAAGGATTCTTAAAAAGACGTTCTATAATGATTTTAGGTTGACGGTCTCTCATTCGACACAGTCTGCCCTCTCTTCTCATTCATCTCTAGTGCTGTGTAAGGCCTATCTCTACGTGGTCCTGTGATGTGGAAATTTTAGGATTTTAATTTCTAAGCTAACTCTATCTCCTCTTAAATCTATTCATATCTGGTATCTAGTACTGATTGAGGATTTTATTTTATTCTTCCAGCTGGCACAAACATCAAGGTATTTTGATTTGAGGCGGTTTTTGGCCTCTCTAAGTCTGGATTATACACGATAAAGCTTTGCTTTTAGCTTAATGGAATATTAGTTGGCTGCTTATCGAACAATCTCTTGCCACTCCTTTCAAATTAGTGTTGCTATAATGCTTGATTTCTATTGCCAGATGATTTAGCAGCTTTATCTGTGTATACCTTATTAAGAATCTCCTATTTCTTATCATTAGAAGTGCCTGGTAAGTTATCAGGTTAATATATTTCAATAAGTTGCTTCTATTAATTGCCCTATCTCGGTAAACTATTATATTTCTATGCAGATCTCTCCTGCAGTTTTTAGCTCATTGTTATTCTCGCATCGAACACAACTTTGCTGACATTTTTCTTGTTACACTTGGGGTCTACCTCTGCAATGTACTCCTTAAATTTTAACTCAGTTTAATCATCTTAATGAGCTTGCTTAACTGTCTTGAAGTCAACCTAGTGGCTTCCAACTCTGAAATTAGTCTTTTTTAGCACTCTCTAGAGAAGTTTACTTTGGATCTTTAGCTCTTTGTTCTGACTTAAGATATTTTAGTTTTGCTTAGAGAGTTTAAAGTTCTAGGTCGACATTGTCGATGGGTTTTGCTTGTATATGTTTAGAAATGTCTTTGATTAAGAGTGCTGCTCTTCCCACCAACCCTATTATCTTGCAGTACCGACTATGATATTTTACTATGAAGAGGGACGCTTGCTCAATTGCTAAACTATATTGGCATTCTTTTTTACATTCTCTATAGAAGATATTTAAAAAATTTCCCCATTTTATCAAAAACTCACTTTGCTAGTCGATCATATCCCGATTTACTACAAATTTCTAGTTATTTTAGAAGGCTTTATGTGTTGTGCTAACGAAATTTCCACTGCCAGAGAATTTGCCTGCATGAAAATCTATAGAAACAATGGTTGAGATCATTTTGATAAATTGGGATTGAACTTTTTTGGTCCTCTAAACTTACACATAATATCTGTAGCCTTTTAGATTTCATGAGGTAAAGGCTACTGATTGAACTTGATACTTGATTTCGACAAATGATCCTTGAATTCTTTTCTCTTATTTGGTGGGTAATAGTGAGGTGCTTTCTCCTTTGACATTTCAGGGTCATTATGCTTGAAAGCAAAAGGACTTTTCTCTCTTCTCATTGCTCTGATTAATTTTAATTCTACTAAAATAAAACTAAATTATATAATACATAAGAAATATATAATCATTTAATTTGATAAAAAGTCATGGTAAAGAAGAATAAATCACCTAAGATTAAACAAGAATAATAAACTTAGAAATAAGAGTAAAAGAAGCCAGCTGCTGTAGTTGCTGAACAAGCACCAGTAAAAGCAGCAACAGTTGAAGTAGCCTATATTCCACAGCCTTACAGTCTTTCCAAGTTAGGCCCCAAGACTATTGGAAAGGCAAAGAGTGGCAAGTCTTGGAATGTGGCTTCTAAGAGAGCACCTAGACATTCAGTTTATAACCCCAAAACCTGGGAAGAGAAGACAGAACAACGTAAAAAACTGAAGGCTCTCAAGGACAGAGTAGCAGAAGCTAAGTTAAAGAAGAAGCAGGAAGTAAGTATATGTCATGTCCCATTAAAAATCTGAATAAATATTAAAAATGTGTTTGCTGATCATTGAATATAGAAACAATCAAGAGCTGTATAATTGAGAGAGAAACTCAAGAGAAAAGAACTCAATCAAATGAAGAGTGCCACTTATCAATTGGTAAGCAAGCTTTTTCCCATTTATATCATCATTATAGATCAAGGATACAACAAAGATAAGAAAGTGGTCTAAGAAAGCAAAGACTCAGCTATCAAAGCTTCCCGCGGAAATCTTCTATCAGAAGTTTGGCAAATGAACTATCTCCTAGCTTTAATTGCAAGCAATCTCACCTCTAATTAACTTAATTTATTGTTTAAATCTGAAGTTATAATTGATATGCAAGTATATTTCATTAACAAAAATAATATTAAGTGAATAGTATTATTACTCTAATCTTGTTATATTTTCATAATTAGTTGATATCCAAAATAACGGGTTAACCCTCTTAATTTCATAGTTCGTCGTTCTTTGATGAGTAGATTCAATACTCTCACTGGACTGAGTTAACCTTCCTGTGCTTGGCTAGTTCTGGGTATTTTTACTCGTACATGACTCTCTTATCATTGTTCAACTGCACGAGCTTCTCACATTCTTTCACCTGATCACTGTATCTCTACTTGTCCATTAGGTTTTCCCTATGCTTGATTGTCTTTGACTAGGTTGATGATCTGTAGCAATACCCAAACACTATGGTCATGAACTACTCAATTGATTATCACATGTAAATTAAGTTACAATTATTCCACAGAAAGCAATTAAGGCATAAGAAACTGATAGAACACTTGTGTTAATTTCCTCCTCAAACTTCTCTACTTCCTAAATTGATTTATCAGAGTCGCCCATATACTTCTTAGCCAAGTCGACAAGAGCCTCCTTCTTAATAATCATCACAATGGTGATGACGAGCTGGAAGAGGAATACTATAAACAGTATCAATAGGTAGAAGCACAATAAATGAACTGATTTTCTCAATTTGAAGGCCAGAGTGCTGAATAAAAGCATAAGGGCCCCTGTCACCAAGAAGGAAATGTTAAAAGTGTTTGCTTCCTTCGTAATCACAAAAAGATATACTCCACATCCAAGGATTCCAAGGGAGGACAAGAATATCAGGAAATTGAACACCACAAATAGTAGGAAAAGGCAAGAATTGCCCTCTTTTACTGAATTTCTGATATTGTCTATTGCTTTCATTGAATCTAAAATGACTAATTATTATTATAGTAAAGATTATTTGATCCTTACTACTCTTACTTGCAGAAATTAATTCCTTTGGGGTTTTGGGGTTTTGGGGTTTTGGGGTTTTGGGG